CAGATCCTAGACTATGGGGACTTAAGTAAATTCAGACCTCTTTCCTCCTCAGGGACGCCCCCGCTGACTTCCTTTGTTCTGACATCACAGCCACTCCCTTCTGTCACTGCTCCCTGCTGCACCCCTCGGCTCCCGAAGTGTTTGGCCCCATTGTGCACTTCAGCCTCTGTCTCTGACAGCAAGCCCTTCCACCTGCCAGGATATATATTTCAATCTGTCCTTTCATCTTTTCCTTTGCTAAGTTCTCCTGGGTGCAGGCATGCCTGAATTTTCTCTCTTCCTTCCTTCGCCCCCACCCTCTCCTCTGCTGCTCACTGAGGGAAGATTGAGCAGACTTGGCACTGTCTGCGTTCCCTGAACGGATCACGCCCGTCTCTTTGATCCGGTGCAGCGAGGCTTAGTTGCCTGTACACTAGAACAAGAAGAAATCTATCAAAGAAGGTGCCTTTTCTAATTCTAGTCTAAAGAATTTGGTGTCATGCTCCAAATACCATGGCTGCTCTATGAGTTTTCATAAGAGGAGTGTGGTCCCTGCCCCTCTGTGCCATCTCGAACAACGGGCCATTCATTTTTCAGTTGTGTCCAGTCCCAGGGTACGAAAGCTTGAGGGCCGCCATGACCTCTGACCCTTCTTAGGCTGGTGCAACTTCTTCAGGTCATGATACCTATACATAGGATGAGATTAATATATGTATTTTCAAAATATTGAATTAAATTTGAGAGGCATGGGAGTCTAGTGAGAACAGTAGAATGGACTATTTCATCCCAACATTTGCACCATAATATATTCTTCTAATTATTGAAGCATTTGACCAAAACACATTGGGGTGCCTGCCCAAGGGACCTGAAAACTTCACAGTTGAGAGGAAAATCACTCTGAAAATGTCTTGACCCAGAAAATATTCCAGCTAGTAAGCATGCAGTCATCAAAGGATAGCAGAGGGGAAGTTGAAATGAATCTTTGTGTTCAAAACCAGCAACAGATTATTTCTGTGCACTCTGGTACTTTTTCTGATGACTAGGATTAAATCATTAGATATAATAATCAGTGGAGCAAATCCTAAAAATTTTCCTGTGATGCAAACGGTGGAACTGATGTTTGTCAACACAACTCCCCATATGCTTTAAGTGGGAGTCCTCTGCCTTCTGCTCCCCTCTGGCCTCTTCCTTGGGTGTGTTTGATATAACAGGGTTATATACTTCAGGAATAGTCTTTTTTTATTGTTGCAAAGAAGGAAATACTAGAGAGAAAAAAAGAGCAGGCTCTTACCAAAAAGGCTGCCTTAAGGAAACATGAGGACATTGGTATTTTGAATTTCCCAGGCCCCGCAGAAAGTGTTAACCCCCGGGAGTGACCTGGGAAGACAAGTGCGGCTGTGTGCTGCAGACCTCATGTCTTTGACAGTAGTTGCATGCCTCGTTTACCATAGAAACAATTAGAGTGTAGACAATGTCCACAGAGCAGCTTATCATTTTTCATGAGCAAAGAAAGGGCAGAAATGACGGATGTTTGCCAAGTGGCCGGAGCCTGGAAAGAAGTACGTGCATTCTTTGTTCCGGTTTTCCTTTTACAGTGTCTTCCTCCCAGTTGCTCATTTAAGAAATGTCTGCAGACTCATTAAGGCATCTTTTGATCTTCTTTCCTTTCCTCTTCCTTTTTCCTTGCTCTCCATCTTCTCCCTGAAAGTAACTGTGTGCGCGCTGCAGGAATGCCAAGCTGCTGCTTCAGGAGGCGCCGTTAATCCACTGTGACATGTCGCCTGCAAAGTCATTTAAGACTTTTGCCGAGTCAGCCATTGTTCATCTCGATTTGTGTCCCTCCATTGCCTCTCGCTCTTCTCAGCTGAGCTCCCCGATCTCCATTCGTCCCTCTGTTAATAACAAGAGAAAGCTCAGAGGTTCCGAGCTGTGCCTTGGCAATTGCTTAATATCGCCCATATTCTCCCAAATTACCATCCCGCTACACTACCCTGGGCTCCCCTACATTCCAGAGAAGTGAGTGGCTCTTGTCTCTTTGGTTTGATGAGACACGACTAAAAAAATGAAAATATTTCATGGACTTCAGAAAACACAATTATATTTTTAGTTAATAATTTAAAAGGTCCTTGATTTTCACTGAAAATATAGTTTTGTCTTTCTGAATGAGAAAATATAATTTGTAAAACATGCACACATGCAAAAACTCTATCCCTGTCATCTAACTACCTATAGAGAACCACTGTCAACCTTGTAAAATTTGATTATTTTTCCAGCTATGAATAAACAAATATATAATACCCTTAATGGCACTGCAAACTTTCTTGCAAGTTTATATACACTGTTTTTTAAAATAGGCTTTACTTTTTAGAATAGTTTTAGGCTTACAGTAAAACTGAGAGAAATGTGCAGAGATTTCCCCTATACCCTCTGCCCCCATACTTGATCAGCTTTCCCTGTTACCAGTGTCCCCCAATAGAGTGGTATGTGTGTGACAACTGGTGAACCCACGTTGACACATCATAATCAGCCAAAGTCCAAGGTTAACCTGAGAGCTCACTTTTGGTGTTGGATGTTAGCTTTGAGTTTGGACAAAGGTATGATATGTGTCCCCCATTATGATATCATACATAGCAGTTCCAATACCCTAAAAATCCTCCTCTCTGCCTGTTCATCCTTCCTTCACTGCTAAGCCCTGGAGGCCGCTAACCTATTTGATGGCTCTATAGTCTGGCCTTTTCCAAAATGTCGTAGAGTTGGAATTATACAATAAGCAGCCTTTTCAGACTGGCTTCTTTCTCTTAGTAATGGGCATCTATGTTTCTTCCTTGTCTTTTCATAGCTTGGCAGCTCATTTCTTTTTAGCGCTGAATAATATTCCATTGTCTGGATGGACCACAGTTTATTTATCCATTCACCCATCAAAGGACATCTTGGTTGTTTCCAAATTTTGGCAATTATGAATAAAGCTGCTATAAACACCATGTGCAGATTTTTATGTAGCCCTAAGTTTTCAACTCCTTTGAGTAAATACCGAGGAATGTGGTTACTAGATCATATGGTAAGAACGTACGTTAGTAAGAAACCACTGAACTGTCTTCTGAAGTGGTGGTACCATTTTGCATTCCCACCAGCAATGAATGAGAGTGCCTGCTGCTTCCCAACCTGGCCAGGCTGTGGTGTTTTCTGTGTTCTGGATTTGGGCCATGCTAAGAGGTGGAGTAGTATCTCATTGTTTTGATTTGCATTTCCCTGATGATATATGATTTGGAGCATCTTTTCATATGCTTATTTGCCATCTCTCTGTCTTCTTTAATGAGGTGTCTTTTAAGGACCTTGGCCCATTTTTAAAATTGAGTTGTTTCCTTATTGTTGAATTTTAAAAGTTCTTTCTATATTTTAGATAATGGTCCATTATTAGATGGATCTTTGGCAAATGTTTTCTTCCACTCCGTGATTGTCATTTCACTCCCTTCATAGTATCTTTCACAGAGCAGAAATCTTTCATTTTAATCAAGTCCAGCTTACCAATCATTTATTTCATGGATTATACCTTTGCCATTACAGCTAAAAAGTTATTGCCAAACCCAAGGTCATCTAGATATACTCCTACCTCATCTTCTAGATACACTGGTTGCTTTTTGTATTAAACTGTTTGCCATTTTTAGGTGAAAATGGGGTGCTGTTTTAATTTATAGTTTGATCTTTTCTGGTATAGATAAAATGCTTCTGTATCACTAGGATTTCTTTTTAAAATAAATTTCCTGGGCATGTCTTTTGTTCTTGACTTTTTTAATCATGATATTTTCCTTTTTTAAAAATGTATAATTTAAATTTAATTTAAATCTGTATATTAAAGATGTTCACCATCTGTTTGTCATGGATATTGCAAATATTTTCCCATTTACCTTTCACATTTTTTAATGTAGTTTATTGACACTGGAT